GACCTCCCCGCGTCCATCCAGGGCAAGGGCGTGCACTCGCTGCGCAAGGTCGACTCGTCCTCGCCGCCGCCGCGCTCGCCCGCAGTGGAGGAGAGCAGTAGCAGCAGTGGAGGGGGAGGCGGGGGGGATTTGACGGCGGCGCTGGCTGCTGCGCTGATGGAGCGGAATAAGAAGCTGGGGGATAGTGATGAGGAGGAGGAGGACGAGGAGGAGTGGGATTAGGTCGACGGGGCGCGTAGGAACGGACGTGTGTTTATGTCATTTTTGGGGGAATGTTGTTTGAATTTTGAGTTGGATTTTCCTGATGTGATCGTTGCAGTTCTGCCGCCCTATTCATTCCATTGCAGCGCAGATCTAGAGGGGCGGTTTTATTGACAGACATGGCTGGCTTCTCTTGAGGGGTATACCTGCGCCGCCAGTGGCGGGAAGCAACTACGCATCTTATCGCGACGATCTCAGTGGAAAAGCCCCAAGGTCAATGGAGGCAAGGTTAGGGACGCCCTCCTGATTACAATCCGACCAGTATGTCTACATGTACAATTATTATCCTATTATACACTCTCGTTCCGCATCTTACATGCAAGTGAAAACCTGTCCAGGTTAGCTATAGACTAGTTGCTCCGGTTGTTCAGTTGCGCTGATCTGGCCTTCAGCTCCTCGCGACTCTATGGCAGATCAGTAAGTCAAGATCCAATTTACCGCCATATTACACTTACCGCGGGCTGAGGCATGTTGTCCCTGATCTCCTTGCTCGGGACGTGGGGGTCGCGCGCATGGAACGCCTGGTACTCCGGCTTGCTGTTCAGTCCACCGCCCAGCTGCGGGGGCTCGAGGTCCCTCGGGTCGTTGGTTTGCTGTCGCCCATATGAGTTTATCGCACGGTAAGGGGAGGCGTTAAAGCCACTCACAGCCGGGTGGGGCTGGATGCTGTAGGTGGGCTCGTTGCTGGGCTGGCTGTTGCCGCTGCCCGAGCCCTTGCCCGTGAGCTTGTTGATGAGGTTCGACATGGCGGATGCGATTACGAGTATCGAAGTCAGTAGGTGTGGATGTGGATGTGGCTCGGTAGTTGGTTGTATGATCTGCAGACACAGCAACGTCCTTTATACCGCGTACTGCGCAGCGCACGTCATCTCATCCGATAGAGATAAACCGGATCCGGCTGAAACACGGTCATGTTGGAGTTCGAGATGGAGCTGGATTCAGGCTCGCTGCGGGGTCGCCTGAGTAGGAAAGCTCGGAGCCACAGCCGGAAGTCCCGGAGACAAGGCCACACTTCCCGCGCTAAGTACTTACGCATTCTCAGAAGCAGACTCTCACAAATTACACGTCGTACCTGTACCTGTCCCTGGCTGTGGCAAGCGTACATGCACAGCTTACACACGTAAATTCATACGAAGGCAATACGTAGAGAGACGCCCACAACGCCCGAGTGCACAGCTGCGCTAAACATAGTCACGCCGGACGCTGTCGGCGATTGCCGAGATGTCCCGTCCATCAATATGGGCAGTGTATCCGAGGCTGTATCGCACCAAGGCCCTTGCTTAAGACCAACCACCAATTCTTCCCGCTGATTACCCGTCCATTCCTTGGCATACAAAATGGCTGATCAACTGGTATGTTGTGTGTTAACTGGCTTGAAAAAGTGGCTGATTGAGCCTGTGTTATAGTCCGAAGGTATGGAGATAACGGGCTGAATGTAAGACTTGTGTTTTACTGATGTACCAACTCGCTGCGTACAGAGCAAATCTCTGGTACGTGTACAACCATTCAGAATAGTCGCAGCATATAGTTTGACAACGAATCTGTATGCAGAGTTCAAGGAGGCCTTTTCATTATTCGACAAGGGTCAGTCCCCGAGCGCTCTCTGAACCCCCAGCCCTAACCACCTCCCCCCCCCCCCCCCCACAGACGGCGATGGCACCATCACGACCAAGGAGCTCGGCACCGTCATGCGCTCGCTGGGCCAGAACCCGACGGAGGCGGAGCTGCAGGACATGATCAACGAGGTCGACGCGGACGGCAACGGCACGATCGACTTCCCCGAGTTCCTCACGATGATGGCCCGCAAGATGCGCGACACCGACAGCGAGGAGGAGATCAAGGAGGCGTTCAAGGTGTTCGACAAGGACGGGAACGGGTACATCAGCGCCGCGGAGCTCAGGCATGTCATGACGAACCTGGGTGAGTGCGGTAGCCGGGAGTCGGAGGCTAGCGCTGACAGAAGTTGCAGGTGAGAAGCTGTCCGACACTGAGGTCGACGAGATGATCCGCGAAGCGGACGTCGACGGCGATGGTCAGATTAACTATGAGGGTACGTTTTCTTGTTGCTGCTCTATACAATCTCTCCTGATCTTCCATTCCACGACAGAATTCGTCAAGGTAACACAGGCCCCATGAATTACGAATGTGCATCTTTGCTGACTCTCTTTTTACAGATGATGCTCTCCAAGTAATCGTACTACGTTCGCCGTTTTCCTCTCCGTTCTTCGACTTCTCTCTTCCTGCATTATCTATGCCTCGAACCAATGTGTAACGATTAGCGAAGGAACATTGAACTGGAATATATATGCCATGGGTCCCATGGTTTAATCGTTATCGAGCGCGCAGCTCTAAGGCCATCCTGCCTCCACCTGAGGCATGGCTATGAATATCCTCGTAAGCCGTCGTCGATGGATCTGTTATTATTAATGGAACATTGCAAGAGTTGCGTACAAAGCGAGACTGAAAAGCGCTAAAAATACAGTACTGCTATATGGTATCGATATGACAAGGTATTCATCTATCCCAAGCTCCGTCCGCTCACGATCACCAGTTCTCCAGGAGCGTCTGTGCGCATTCCTGACCAGAACGAGTTAGTACACCATCAGAAAGTGGTAATACTTGAACCCTCACCCTCAACCGACCGAGGTTGTGCACCATAGCCACATTTACAATCGTCTTCAATTTTCTCCGCACGTCCGCCTTGCTGATCGTGAGCTGGTACGCCCCAGAGCACTGGCAATGCCTTGAGACATTATCCGACTGAATCTGCTTGCACTTCGAGCAGCGCAAATCTTGCTGCGTGAACGTGCGCTCGAGGGTGTACACAATATCAATTAGCGCGAGCTCGATCGCAGTCCTATCAAAATCCCCGCCGCACTCGCCGCACGCCCAGCGCGGCGTCATCTGCGCACTGCTCGGGAGCAGCTCCGTGTCGCGGCAGAAGTCAAAGTCGCGCAGCGCGTCGCAGTGCCGGCAGGGCACGTTCGTCAGGCGCAGCGGCTCGCACGGGTTGCGGAACACCGCGTCGTCGGCGAACTCGCGCACGCCGACGAGCTCGAGCAGGTTCCGCCGCAGCAGGCCCATCTCGACCTGGTAGTCCTTCGCGAGGTGGAACACCGCGCAGACGAACTTGACGAATTCGAGCGGCGGGTTCGTCATCGCGAGGTGCGCCCCCGGCAGGACGGGGAAGGAGAAGTCCTCGTCCGGCTCGTCCTGCATTTGGGAGTAGCGGTACCGCTCGAGGATATTCCCGACCGTCTTGAGGCAGCGGCGCGTGAGGCGCCGCGCGATGAATTCTCGCGTGGCCTCCATCTCCTTGACCTTCCCCGCGTCCCGCTGGGTAGCTTCTGGAGCGGCGTTCTGCAAGAGTCGCAACGGCGTACGAGACGTGTCTCGGTTTTGCTGCTGGGTTCGGTACAGGTTAATGACAAAGAAACGGACGATGCTCCGGAAGTCTTCCTGGATAGCCTTGGGCAGGAAGGTCTCGATGTTCCACCGCATTTCTATAGCGAGTTCCTCTGGGGGTTCGATGGCTAAAGGATCCTCGCAGACCACGCCGCCTAGATTAGCTTGATCCATGAATACGAGGAAATCGTAGAAGCGTTCGGTATTCAGGTAGACATGCTGGAACAATTCGTGCGATGTGACAGCTGTGGTAATGTATGTTGCATAGGCGTGAGCTGTGCCTGGTGGTTTCGAAGTCACCAACAGGATACGGCTGAAGTCTGCGTAGACGACATGAGACCCGAGCCGCTTGAATTCAGCCAGAAGTTGTATGAAGGTCTTCCGCATAAGACTGTGGACAAATCTGTGGATACTTCCGTCATACATGTTCGATGCGTTCGAGCTAATCCACCTCCAGAAGTGATCAATAGCAAGAGTAGCGGGGCTCTCGAAGTTACCTTGAATTTTGTCCAGAAGCCAGGTTTTGATCATAGACTTCAGGACGTTCAAGGTCTTCGGAGAGACATTTGATTCGCCTAGGGTGAGATCCCGAGGAGCATCGCGGCCGGTGTATTCGTCCAGAGTGTGTGAGACTGAGTCGAACGCGGTTGCTCCGCCGCTGCCTTCCAGCTCGTTGACTACGACAGAGTGCAACACTGAGTTCACCGCCAGGTTACGAACCGCGATCTCCAAGCAGACGTTGACATAGCACCCAGGCGACAGGAACTCCGTGCTGGCGATTTCCTGAGTCTGTCGCTTGTCCTCTTCAATTCCTCCAAGGTCGGGCCGGTCCCCAGGAGACCACCATAAAACCATGTCTTCTTTGAGGAGACGCCTGGCGAATTCGAGATCAGCAACATAGAGAGGCAAGTCGCCTTCGATATGGCCGACTGGTACGTCGTAGTAGTCCGCGAGAGATATCGTCCGATCAAGCCATGGACCCAGTGACAGGTACCGGCTGAGCATCTTCTGCGCAACGTTCGCTTGCCATGGGAACACATCCAGGCTATGGGGACCCTTCGCCTTGGACATGGACAAGACGGGGAACTTCGCTAGCCTCGGGACATGGCTGTCGAAATATATTTGCTCTTTCATGGACGAGATAACTACAGTGTACGATCGGCCTTCGAGTAATCCAAGTTCCCGAGATACTGCTTTCAGAGCGGTCACATCACTGCTGTGATAGGTCGTATCGAAAGTGAGCATCTCCTGATATTGCACCGAGTAGCTCGCGCCGTTCGCTGCCCGATGTCTGGACAGTAGTTCATTGTACAATTCCTGCATCCGGGGAATCCCTTGTCGGCGGGTCGCTGGGTCGACAATGTGCAGCTTGACGGAGCCGTCAGGATGGAAGACGGCAAAAACATGCACTGGTGCGTTGTTCGAGCAAGCGTGGTAGACGAATATGTATTTGCCTCCCGTGCCACCGTTGAGATATTTACCGCGTGTCATGGAAGGTTCGGCATGGGTGAGCTGATGGAGGTCCACTCCGGCACTCTCTGCTCTATTCAGTGTCATAGTCTTGTCGTCCATGACACAAGTCTTCCCCAATTTAAGGAGAGCGCGCACTACTAGTGGGACCTCATAACTTCTCATCAGCATGAGACATCGGCGACTTGCCAGAAGCTTACCTGCAACTCGAAGACACTGTCCACGTTGGGATCTATCGTGAGGTCTACAAAGTGGTCATGTCCATCTTGATAAATATCTTCGCGGACTGAGATTTTGTATAAATTGACGCAAGGCTGTCCGCGAGGTAAATGTTTGACTACTTGCTCGCAGAAGTATTGATCAACTTGGAATTTATCCTGCTTCGGTGGGCTCCTAAAATGAATGTAGAACTCGCGCGGAACACGGAGCGGGATCGCAACGAGTTCAGAATCGATGGACAGCCATAGAGTGTATCGTCCCGGGACCTTGCTTGGTCGCAATTGCACTATGTCCCAGCGGTGCACGGTCCTTACTCGGCCGCCTCTGAACATTGCAGGCACAACAGTTGAGTTGGGATCACCGAAGCGCGCCGCCCGCCTTCTTCGCCATCTAGAGTTCATTACTCGAAGCCATTCACGATAATTCTCTGACGGGTTCGGCAGTTTCTCCTCCGCGGGTTCTTGAGTTTGGACTTCTTCTTGTGACTCTTCATTCCTCGGGGCAGCCTTGCGGTTGTTTGGCTTGATGCGCAGCTGTCCGTCCGGTCTGCGATTGCCGAAATCCTCCATGTCATCCACAGAATCTTGCGTCATCTTATCTTCCTCAGTAGCGCGCTTGAAGAAGTCAGTGACTTTGTGCTGCCGAAATTTATCGTCCATAGCTACTACACGCCGATGCAGCCAGTCGGGATGGTGAATACGAGGAACAGGATTGGCGACCTTCTGCATCGCAGCCGGGATGGTGATCAGCTTCTGGATAACGGATCCTAAGCGTTCGATGTAATATTCCCAATCCAAGATGGAGCGAATATCGAAGTTGGCCAAGCTGTTATCTTTCAGCCACTTCCGCAAATACGTCCTCTTGACGCTCTCTTCGGCGGAAAAGATCGCGACCGGAATAGCTCGTTCCGTGACTGGTGCACCCATGGGACGAGCTGATATAATGAACTTGCAGGCTAAGCCTTTGTCTTTCACCATCTGATCGCCCAGGAATTCTGCAAGACGTTTCGCAGTACTAATCGATGTCGACTTCTGTCCGCCGTATTCAGCCAATGTTTTCGACATGCTTCGGTTCTCGGCGATAAGGTCGAAGAGCTCATTGTCCGGCATATTCTCCGCCCTGCTGAAGAGAACATCCAGCCATCGGTCAGCGACTTCAGCAACCGCAGCGTAACACTCCTCGGTCGTAGATCCTAGAAGGAACTTCTCAAAGATTTGCGACTGAAAAATCTTGATTAGCTGCAATTCGCCACGTCGCTTAACCTCGAAGCCCTTCAATTCCGCCAGCGACCCATCGTCATTGAATACCGCGTACCGCTTCTTCAGCAATTTGTCCTCTTCTTTCGAGGAGGGAAGGATCATGGCCTTATAAGGCCCGTCGAGTTCGAAAAAGATGGAGTTCTCGCTATGTATCGTATATTGACCCGTTACTGGATCAAGGTCGTGGTATTGATGATTCGTGAACTTGTCGTGCACGAGGTGATTGAGCATGGTACAAGGGTACGAGAAGGCGATAGCCTTGCCGTTCTTCAGTTTGAACTTGAAGTTCTCCGGAAATATTCCGGGCAGCATGCACCAGATACCGTCAGTATCCAATTCGAGGGGACGTCCAAGCTGCTCAACGAGCTGCCGAGCCATCTGAATAATAGTCGCCCCCGTCAAACATGTGATACCAGCCATCTCCATGGAGTGCCAGCGAGCGCCTTTCCTCATGACGTAGCCGTAGAAGGAGTTCAGGATGCACTTGTGGGCAAGCTGGAGGGAGTCGTAGAGCACTATCATCTTCTTCGCCTCTTCCACCTCAGCGATAGTACGTCCCTCCGACACGAAGCTATCGAGATTCTTCTTCCAAGTCTTGTGAAGACCCTTGTATTCGTATCGCCGATCTCGGAACGTTCGGACGGTATCGATATAGAAAGGGTTTTCGCGTTGGCATATGATAGATTCGCGATTCTCGACCTTGGTGTCCTTCATCTTCTTATACACTTTGCGCGAATAGTCACCGAGCCGCTTGTGGATCAGCGCAGTCTGCTCTGACTCAGACAAGTCCGTGAATCGTCGATGGGGCCCTCCAGGTCTCTTGGATAGGAACGTCTCCTGATTCAAGGCATGTCTGATCATATTGTATTCGTCTCGGTGCGCCGGGAAAAACTCTCCCCTCCAAGCCCATGTCATACGCCGATCGCATTGCTTCCCTGGTCGATTATAGTCACAAACAGCGCAGACGGACTCATCGACGACGGAGTCGGGTTGAAGTCGGTTCGACAACATGATATTTGGATACATCGCCGCGACATCCAAATGGTAGATCAGGGGTTTGTCATGGCGCAAAGGATTATCTCGCATCTCTTCCAGAGCTGATTGAATCTGCTGCTTGACTTCGTCATAATTCGTAACGTCCTCCATGGACGCTTTAGACTCCTTGACGATGCAGAACATGAGAGCAGCATCCAGTTCGTCGATCAGCTGAGGAATTTGTTATCAACATCTATACAGATGATATTCGCAGTTTCATCATACCTTCTGAGCGGCCGACGGTTCAATCTTAAAATGCGTAGCGATATCACTTCGGAATACTCCAGCTTCAAGGGCTTCGACGTGACCACCGACATACGTCTCCGAGGCGAGCAGATGACCTTCGTACATATTCCCTTGAGCCTCTTCGTGCCTGTTGGGCATAATGATGTGCCCTCTGTAGGCTTCCACCTGCGCCACTTAAGCATTGGTAACCCTGACCGTGAAGGACAAATGACGTACCATGAGCAGAGTTTCGCAGAGAGTGCCGCTGCCTTTCCGCAAGACTTCGTCGGGTTTCAGCGGAATGATGTTGCAAAGTGAGAATATGAAGGGATGAACGTATTTCATGTACAGATAATATGTGGCAACGGCATCGGACACGGAATATTGTGCCAGAACTTGCGGCTGCTCCATAGCATATCTTGCAAAGGATATAGTTAGCTCCCTCCTCTGCTGCTTTATTGATTTTGACAAACTTACGGTGTCATGAGTTCGGGGTCAAGTTCGATAGGGTCATAGCCCAGCTTCGCCGTCGTGACGGCTTTCAAACCTTGACTACCTTGGGGCAGGTATGAGTCCCGCTTGACCCAGCGGAAGCAGTCCATGTGGACGCAAGTCTTGCTCTTGAACTCGTCTTCCGAGTCTATTGCGAAACCAGTCTCCAGGAACATGTCAATACCGTGGACCTTAGAGCGTGCGCATAGGAATGGAAAATCGAAGAAGTCGCCGTTGAATGTTGCCATAACAGTCGGCTTGACTTCTTGGATGTGCTGGAAGAAACGCGTGATAGCGGCCGCCTGAAGTGCGAAGTCAGTAGGTAGCATACTCGGTTAGCGGTGGAGCGACTCACTTCGTCTGGCTCGTTGAAGATTGTGAATGGGCCTTCGTAGCCCTCCTTGGGCGTATATTCGAAGTCCTCGATATCCTCGCTGACGATCTCCCGATTCGTGATCAAGTAGCCTTGACCGTCCACCATGTACGAGATCATCATAACCTGGTCAATGGCCTGATCAGGGAATTTCAGCGGCGCCTTGGTTGTCTCTATATCGTACGCCATGACGACCGGGTCGGCACGCTTCACCCTCTCCGCAATGTGCTTGAAGGATGGCTGGCCCGCAGTGAACGTCACCGCGTACCACAGACCAACTCGAATCTCGTTGTCGATGGCGACCCGCAGGTAGTACGGGACGTCGTACTCGCGCACGTCGATGATAGCCTCGCGCGGATCCTTCTCCCGACTGGACCCACGCATGTCCTCGTCTTCGAGTTCGATCTGCATACCGGCGTTCTCGGCGGTAGCATTGACTACCTCGGCGTACGCGTCTACGGCATCCCGTTTGGCACCATTGGCCAGGGCCAGAGGCACAATGTCTCGCCGAACGCTGAGCAGATCGGAGACGTTGCGAAAGTGAAGTTGTAGGAATAGTCGGCGGTGACCCATGAGATGGTTGGGCATTTGGAGGTCCTCTTTGCGTTCGCGGGTGATCCGGCAAATGACGCCTTCGTATTTCTTCAGCAGCCACTCTTCCACCATTGTCTCTGTCCCATTCTGTGCGAAGTTTAGCCCCAGTACGGGTAGCATCAGAATGTGAGCTCACCTTGCAAGCGACGCAGAAATACGGTTCATAGAGGAATGTGCACTTGAAGAGGTCCCCGTCGTCTTGAATAAAGTAGTAGTCCACGCCCGCTTTCCCTCCAGGCCAATCAGGATCTTTAACCAATGTCTGTATCGTTTCAATAGTCAGTGTGCGTGCCATGACAGGATGGACACGTTATTCTCACCGGATGCATGTTAACCAACCACCCCTCCCTCTTCGGTCCATCCTGCACTCTCGCGAACCCGAGCTTTTCGTCCACCTCATCGTTCACCCTGACTTGCTCAAAACGCTCCTCTAGCTGTGTGCCTTCCTCATCTCTCGTGGGTGCGCTTCCTTCCGCGCTGGCGCCGCCTGAGCGACCGCGTCCGCGACCTCTGCCTCCTCGGAACGAACCTCCGCGATATCCGCCTCGCTGGAATGAACCTCTTGCCCGACGAGATGCCAGACCAAAAGAGCCGCGACCCATGTTGCCGTCGTGTAGGACAGCGAGCCTGAAGGATAAGTTGCCGTGCTGGGTGAAGTATCGCGAGCGCCGGCGGGAGACGCGATAATGATGCCTGGTGTGACACGTTACGCGACGCGTCTGTGGCTGAAAAGCTCCGAGTCCCTCATCCAATTCTCATCCGATTCTCATCCGAACTTCAACCTTTCAGCTTACGATGACCCTTATGGAGAGTGCCTAGAGTTTGCCGCTGTATTAACGCGATGCAGAGCCACTTCTCTCTGGGATCACTGTCCTACCCATTGACCGCTGAGTGCCGGTCAAGAAGAGGGAGGTGACTCGGATATACTGCTGTGGGTAAAAACCTTTCTCCTCATCGTATTTTAAGCAGCATTTCCAGACGTAGGCTGAAGCTGCGTTCTCCAATTCCAGCGTTTGCGCGCGAATCTAGGTGTTTGACAGACAAGACTGAATATTAAATTTCTCTCCAAGTAGAGAGAGTTTATGCAGGAAGACCGTTATGATACAAGATAAATGACAGCTTTCCGCTCATACACAACACCACGGTATTTGTCCGCCACGCGTAGTAGGACTTATGGTGCGTCCTCGCCTTCCGCGGCGTCTTCCCTCTTACGCTTCTTCCCTGCACCGGCGAAGAGGCTATCTAGAGTCGCCTGCCCCTTCTCCTCCTTGCCCTTCTTCACCTTTGCCTTCTCATTAGCCAAGACGGGCGGCAAGCCTTCGACCCTCCTCTTCGCATCCTCAAGCAACAGTATCTCGCGCTCCCGCTGTCTCTTGACAGTGGGTACCGACCACGAATTCGAATTCACGTTCTTGTGCGCGAGCTTGTACTTCGATCCCGTCAGGTGCGTCTCGTACGTATTCGTGTCAATCTTCTTGACATACTATCCATAACAATATTTGAGCACGGGAATCCTCAACAGATATAGGATGGAACTGTACCTGGTGCGCGACAATCAACCAATGATACTCTGTCCCAACAGGTGCCCCACTACCCTTCGGCGCGTTCCTGGCGCGCCTCTTCCTTGTCTTATAGTCGATCTTCCACAAGTCCGGCTCCTCCTTCGTCTCCTTCCACACGCCCTGGTCATAATTCCAGGTATGTGACCCGCCGATCGCCATGCCAGAATACATCTGGCCATTGAAGGACTTCAGGGCATCGTAGCCGCCTCCCCCGTAATAATTCTGCTTCTGCTTGGATGGTGCAGGGGTCTCCTCCTCATCGAAGAGAGCGGGATCCTCGTCTGTAAGTCTTGATGTCGAGGCTACGGATTGGCCGTCATCGTCCGTCGTCCGAGACCTTGATGCGAACGATTTGGTGTCTGCACCGTCGTCATCCGGCAGGTCTAGTGTCGCGACGGACCTGTCAAGTGGTTGCTCGGGCTCAGCAGCGTCCTGCGCCGAAGAACGTGTCTTGCGGTGAGAATTGACTTTGGACGTCGTTGTCGATGGCGAAAGCTTTGTTCTTTTAGCTCGTGGCATGAAGGTTATGAGGGACGTTGCGGTGGTGACTCTGGTTTGCGACTTAAATGGCCTTGAACTGAACGTCGCAAGTCATGGCTCCGCACATTGATCGGGCAGTACTTCTTGGTCTGGAAGAAGTGTGGGGCACCGGGAGTAGTGGCCATCACCTGCCGCTGACGTCACGCGTACAGTCTCGAACGCCGTGCAGAACGCAGTGCATTCTTGTCCATTTACAAACACGTAAACCATTCAGATAATATCACAGAGATATAGAAGTAGTCCGAAGGAATCTCCATATCCCAACAAGTAGACCCTGAGCAGCGAGAACAGAGCTATTTCACAGTGAGGTATGAAATATGGAGAGAAATTATAGTACGCAGAGGGATAGATACAACAGACGCGGTCGAGGTGCTGGGAAGGGTTAGAGTCGTCTAGTGGCCAGTGGCCTTGACGATGGACACGACAATGATGATAATGATGATGGCAATGGCGACGCCGATGATGATTCGCATCTACATCGACAGTCGTCAGCGAGCAAACAATGGCAGGCTAAGGATGTACTGACCTTCATGTCTTTCCACCTTTGGAGTCGCAGGAGCAAATCAGAACGTATGAGAATGCTATAGCTAGCATGACTACTTACCACATATTCTAACGAGGAATAAAGGAACATCGTCAGTCCGGTCAAGATATTCAACACCGACATCGTTACACACCTTTCGTACACGGTTCGCCCCGCGCCGGAATCCTTGTGCGGAAACAGCCAAGTTATCTATGACGTACAGCATTCAGTACCCAGTTCTATTGCCAACCCAGTCCTATCCTGCTTCCAAAGTAACGAGAACGATGAGGAACACAGCGACTCACCAGTCTTGTCTTGCAGCGAATCCAGCCTCTCTCCTCTCTCCGCCACCTTCGTAATGTTTTCCCGCATGATACCTACTGTATCATCAATCTGCTGCTGGATGGCGGCCGTCTTGGCGTTGCCGCCGCTCGGGCCAGAAGGGTTGGACGAGCCGCCACGGGGAAGGTATGGGTCGTATGGTTCAGACCTGGCATCCCGACAGTATAAGGTTATTCAATGCGTGAGCGGTCCGGGAAGTGTATTGTCAGAATGAAACCGTCAGGTAACATTGACAACGAGCAGGGTGTACTGACATTATGGAAACGTGCGATTCTGAGGTCAGCTCAGTCAGTCTCGAAGTCTGCAGCGAGGGAGCAAAGCGACCAATCCGCACCGTATCAAACGAAGTCGTAAGGGGTTTTGCGGGATGTGTTGGTGGTCGTTGCAGACGATGACGACGGCGAGGAGGCGAGGCTGCACTCCGCAGGAGTACAACACAGCCAAATACGGACCCACGCCACATTCGCGGCGCCAAATGGCAATCCAATGCTTCCGAAGCTTGCAGTCGATTACTGGTCGATTACAATTGTAGATTACATTCTGTTCGTACGCTAGGCATATGGTGCAAATTTGGAACCTCTATACGGCAAAAAAATAATGCGTGGCTTCGAATCTATATACTAGTATGTGGTATATCGCCTGCTACCAAGGATACAAGCAAAAATGCCGCAATATTGAGGCCACCACCCGCAGGGCCTTTCGGTGCGTCTCCGAAGATGGCAAACCTTCAGAGTGTAAGAACCAAGAACTTTTCATGCATGTCGTAGCCAAATATGTGGCCAAGTTCATCATAATAAGCCTGGCGCTGAAGGATACACGCATGAGCAATGGCCCTACGTGAACGGCAATGAGACAGCTTACCACACGAATAACAATACCGTCTTCATAAGTGGCGATGTGTGACGGCCCGATGAGCGCAGCTTCAATTCCTTCCAGTGTAACAGTCCTGCTCGTGTATTGTAAGTCCGTCCACAGATCTACAGGCTGCTGGTAGGGAAACATCCAGTTTACTCGGTGGAACCTCTGGGTGCAAGTCTGAATACCGTCCTGTTCTTCATCCACGACAGGTCGACGTCTCTGGCCTCTTGTGAAGTCGTAGACCGTCAGGACGGGTCCGGTCGAGCTATCGCCCGCCCAAAAAGCGACGCGAGGCCCGTTTTTTACCTTTTTCCAGGACAGACTCCCGGATAAACCCAGCGTCATGCAAGTTCCTTCTACACCCCAGGAGTTCCAATCCCAGATTATTCCGTGCTCTAGACGCGAGGAGATAACAGAATATGATATAAAATGAGTGCGGTCTTCAGGGTGACGTTCACCGCGACTTCTTGCCCAAATATCTTCCTCGAAATGGAATGTGACGACGATGAACCTGTCGTCGCGCGCCGAAAAGAAAGGGGGATCTAAATCTCTGTTCGGGGTCCAGTCGAGAGGGGAAGAAGTGTGTATCTGGAAGTTATAAATGGGACAAGACTCTGGATATTCGAAAACACAGAAAACTGCCAGGCTGTCCAAGCATGCGCATTCCCGTGGGAGATGATTGAGATCATAAACTCTCAGACTTGCGGGATATGAGCGCTCAGACAGCAAGATAAACCGCTGATCTAATAAAATGAACCCATCTGCGAGGCGACCTGAGACCCACTGCCACAGACAGACAATCAGTGATATGTTTATAGTAGGTCATAGAGGACGGACGTACCCCGACGATGGTTGAAGTCTTCCAGCTCCACAATATAAACTCAGACCACCTGCCGGCGGAAACGCCGATGAAATCTCCAGAGATCTTGACCGTGAAGTCTTGATGGAAGGTGTGAAATATATCAAGATTCAGCACAGGAAGCGCAGCAGAGGGGTGGGGACCTCCATCTGAGAGCCGTCTCAGACGAAGTTCACTAGTCCTAATTTCTCACTTCTCATTAATATATGGATCGTACATATTACATTATGCACTCGCGTTTCTGACGTACCATGATGCACAGTAGCAAGCAGGTCTTCTGATGGTTCCATAGTGAAAACCGCGAGGTTGTGGCCGACGGTTCCAATGTGCCATTGACGATGAGGGATATTTCTCGCGATCGCAGGCAGTTGATCAAAAACCACGCCATAGGTCCCGTCTTCAGCATGGTAGCTCCGACCTAGAATCCCTGCCTGTACTTCCCAGGCACTCAACCATGTATTCCCAGGTAGAGGTGCCAGCCAGCGTTGATTTTGCGACTCTGAGAGGCCCTTCAGGTTATCCCAGCCTGAGACATACTGACGAAGGCGGCGATAACGTTCAGCCGTATTCATCTGACAGGCCATACCATCTTCCATATTAGCAGCTGCTAGGTCGATGCGGTAGCTCAAAAGCTGATCATTGTTGATTATGCTTCGCAGGAAATGACAGACCTAAAGGTCAGACGTTCCATATAAGGGCGTGAGCCTTGCAAGATACGCAGCCACAGTAATAAGTCACTTACTTCTTTGCAGATTAGAAGCATCCTGTAGTCAACATGAACAAGGATCAATGTAATGACCTCGACGGGCAGTTCGGTGAATGCGCCGTGACCGGGCGACATAGTTGTGTGAGGTTCGCAAGTGAGGGACGAAAGCCACCGGGTGGGCATTATTTATACGTCCAAGCAGTGCCACACGTATTCAGGGCCAAGCTTTCAAAGCGTCCCGAGAAGGTCAATGCAGTTGGTCCAAGCCACACTTCGTTGCTCCGCCCAATCGCAGTGCCGTGCCGATGCTCCTGGTGCATGATGCATGATGTCTTGGTTAACCGAAGGTATTCTTATTGTCGCAAAGCATGCAAAAAAGTAAGCGTACGTATTCTGCCGCGGGATTAATATTGTACGAGGTTCATCGTGGGTCGTCCGTCGCAGCCACGATTCGACCGCACACGCGCACGGTGATGCCACAAACCCTAATTGCGACAATTTTGCACAGAAATGCCATAAAATAAGTTACACGCACCTAGCCTTAGATTTGACTCGATGACGACGCTTAGTATCGCAATGATGTCCCCGTACAATATTATAATATTGTATGGTTGCAATATCGTCGCTCGAACCTCAGGCGAACCACAGGTGAACACGGCCGGGAAATCCCGAAGGAACGCATTGATTGACAAGTTCTTCATGATCAGATGATTCAGATCTGTCAGATCCGCCTCGCCTGAGGCTCGGACCATACTTACAGTACCAGTAGTGTACAGTCGCTGCACAGCGGCCTGGTGTAAGTCAGTATTCACAATTTATTAGAGCACACTGTAGGGCGGTACATTGACGGTTTTTTTCAGAATACCCAGAGCAGCGAGTGTATGCGGCTCTCTTTGGAGACTCTATTGATGCAATGTGAAATATCTACAATGTGGATGAAATGCCAGGGAGATGTTCTATACAACAATCACACTCGGAGCCTTAGGTCGCATGGAAGCGGGTGACTCAGACAACAGTGCACAGTGTTTGGAAGAAGACCCGTTCATAGCGTAACGGCACGGAAATCAAACCCTCTGGCAGGGTCCTCCTGAAAGACAATTCAGCAGGGTTCCAAATCACTACGAGAGAACTCACCCGCACGAACACGACACCGTCATCGCATGTGACAACGTCCACTCCGGCACCAATTTGTCCCCAATCTGAGAATCCAGCCATGATCGCAGCCTTTCTCGTGTATTGCAGACCGCACGGGAGAACTTCAGTTCGCTGGTGGTGACCTTCGGGCATCGGCCACTCGACACTGTATCTCTGAAGCATGCTCGAGACATTTTGGGCTTCCGTCGCCGCGACCTCGGGCCTCCGCGATCCACCGAAGTCGTACACTTCAAGTACGGGATGTCCCATCAGGGTATGAGTAAGGAAGGCAAACCTCTGGGCGTTCTTCACGGTGCCCACGGGTACTATCATGTTGCCTTCCAAATGCGTCTCCTGTGGACCCCATTCGGACCATGTCCAGTGGTTTCCCCGCTGCAGCCGTGAAAGGATGACCGAGGCTGGTATGAAGTGCGTGATGGGGCCTACAGGATCGCGCCAGAAGTCCGGATGCTGGCCGAATCGGGTATGGTCAAATTCAAGTCTGACGACGTACACTACACCGCCAAAGTATCATAAGCCAGACACGAGATGACGGGGACGCGTGCGATTTATATCTCCACGCCGCCTTGAGGTAAAATTGTTCTCAGCCGTTACATAGCTATTTTATGTATATAGATTCTATACAGCGAGTCCACGTAGCCACCACCTGCGCTCACCTTCTTTCCGTGAGCATCCAATCCAGCCCCTAGAAGTTCGGTTCACGGTAGTCATAGCCAGTCACTATGTGGCCACCACGTGCATGGTCCACCTTTAGGCGAGTTCCCTATACAGCTTCACTAAGGCCACTATCCACACTGTAGCCATATGAGTACCATATATATCATATACTACTCGAGCTATCTGTATATGACAAAATAATAGCACCGGCACTGTCCTGTACACCAGAACTACACCTTTTTCCGTTTCTTCGAACTTTGCCCTCCGACGGCCTCCTCCCGCTGCTTCTGAAGCTTAGCCTCCTCCGCCTTCTTCCGCTTTGAAACAGTGTCTGCCCGAAGCTTCGCCGCCAGCTCTGCATGCTTCTCCTTGCGGTTCCTGTGCTCATCAAATCTTGGCATTGGTCGGGTGAGGTGAGGAGGAAGGACCTGACGGAGTAGCTGAGGGTTGTGCAGGGAATGGGTATTGATTAGAAAATGGTCGTCGGAGCTGTGTGCTAGGACAGCCTCCATGATGTTGGTCTCCAGGCGTTCCTGTTTCTTGGCTCTCTGTCCAGTCGCAGCACATCTCTCCCTCTGGCAGTTGTGCTGCACGTTAATACAGAATTCGACCGTCTGCAAGTCGAGTGGTTAGTCCTGGAACCAAGAGATATAAGTGATTTACATACAGATGGAGATATACTTATGAATGTTGGCTCGCCGCATCGTCGTGAAAGAGTCGGCATGCCGAAAGTTATATCACGTGTCTCACCCACTTCAAACCGCTCGATTGTGACAAGTACCTGACCACTTCCTTCTTCCTCAAGAATCTCGGCAATGCGGCCAATCATCCTTTCTCCTGGGGCCTGTATAGCCATCAGACAAGAAAATAAGGAGCTGGGCTCGATCACATACGGAAATCGGGCATTCGGCAATGACCCAAGCCCCGCAAAGACAGCTTTCTTGAGACTTTGATATAACAGATTTGCCGATTGTCCAACGGGATGACGGTTTTGTGGTCACAGATCCACTATTGATAGCCTTAGATGCTGTGGTATCTGCCCATCTTGCAGTCGGACGTTGTCGTGTCCCCTTCAGGTGGGAAGCAAGTTTGACGGAGCCTAAGGACTGAGCTATCACCGATGAATAAAATTTCTTGCGGGGAACAACATACCGACAGCAGGTTCTTCACCAGAGGACCATCCGAGGTGTCTCTGTAAGATAGGGTGTTTATGTAGGTAATCCAGCACCTTTGGCCCGGCACACTCCCACCGACCGTCTCCAGCTACAGACGGCCAGAAACCCCCCATCACTCGATGCTTGAAGCTCTCCTGGGCTGACAGATCTAAGGCAATGTCCCGGCTAGGTGCTAAATGGTTTGAGAATACCGAACAGTTACGGAAGACTCCATTGTAGCACTCGAATATCTCATCCATTTCCCCCAGGATTGGTCCAAGGCGTCGGACATCGTCCTTGATATGAGATAAAAGGTGCAACTTGATCTTTGTTATGATCTTTGACGGCTCGATCTCTGCAAAAATATCTAATACATTTGCGACGGCAATTTCGAGATCGTGCTGTGTGCAAAGCATCAATTCAGACTGATTATCACTGATCAGCACAGAAACATTTGCGTACAAGGTAGTCATCCAAATGGAGAATTTCGGGATACCAAAGCAACGCAATAAGTTCACCGCAAGCCTTCCAAAGCGAGAAGCAAGTAGGATCGACGAGATCATGGACTGCGAAGACACTGACTTGTGCAACTGTCTTCAGCTGCCGTCCGATCAGCGAGTTGGCGTACTGCATCAAGTAATCAGCGCGTATTGCGTGGATCGACAGTCCCTTCGCGTCAGTCGACTGTAGCCGAATAGCATATGTCTTTTTCTGTTCATCCGACCAGCTGGTGTGCGTTCCGTGCCAGACATACTTCACAATCCCGAGGAGTATCGTATGCAAGATCTCAATGGGTGTATCCTTTGCAGGATCAAACGCTGGATATTTCAGAATATTAATTAGCCTCCACTCGGAATCTCAAAGGGAAATGCCAACCGACCTTGCATTGTGAGAACTGGATTTATAATATCATGCCGGCGGGCTCGTACCCAGTCCATTAGCTCCTCTCTAATGCTTTCTTGACTGCGTCGGGAATCCTTTCTCATTTCCCGAGCACGATCAATGATTTTCTCGATCCATGGCTGGGTGTAGCCATCCTTGACCCCTGTTGATGTCTGGAGTTCCTTGACACGCTCGGCTATTCCTGTACAAGCTGCTTCCAGCTGCTTTTCTACTTCTGCTACGGTGGCTAAAGCTGTCCGCGGGACACCAACCTGTACAAACTTAATGGTCACTCATTTGAGGTCGAGATAGCATCAGTTACATACGTGGAAAAGACTTTCATACCCTTCATTGGTCTGCTTGAATTCTTGAGTACCACCGGCAAAGCATTTTCTACAGTAATAATTCCCCTTCCCGCCGATGTGACCACACATTTCACTTTGTAGTGGATTATCCCCAGGACCTGTGTTTGTGAAGAGTCGAAACCGCAAATCTTGACCGGTTATGGCATCTCGAACTTGCACTGGTTCCTTGTGAGTTGCCCTGTAAGAGCTTGATGAGGGAGTCTCAAGCACATCATTCTGCTCTAAACATACTCGACGGTTTCCTTAAATGCCCGAAATTGCTCTGGCGCACTCGCATTTTGTGAAGTTGAGATGAAGTGAACATGTACCTCCTGCTGAAGCAGACGCCGGGGTAGATTGCGATGCACAACACAGGCATTTACATGCTTGTTGTATGACTTTGTTCTATTGCCAGAGACATCGTCAGACCAATAGTCGACGAAACTCGTGTAGAGCGGATCTCCTGCCGCAATTTTGCGGAGAGGATTAGGCATCCGTGCCCTGTGTCCGGCATCTATCGTGGCCTCTGGATAAGGAAAATCAGTGTGAGTGTGCATTCCCATGACTATGACGTACGATCACAAATGGGGACCAGATTTTGGTCTATCAAATCCAAAAAGTCTGCGTCAAGGTGTTTGGTTTCAATAATGATTGTTCTGCTATCATCAATCTTGTAGGTTCCCTGATATTCTCTCAGGTTGCAACATGAAGCGGGAGAGTAAGGTGAACATACATTCTCATTGCACGCCACTGCATATGCGTCAGCGACGATTTGACTATCCTCTTCCCTTTCTAGCCATCGTATAGGCACAACGAATTGACCAGTCTTCATCCGAGCAAACTCATTGACGTAGTAGTGATGATCCTGGCCGGCATCATACATTGGACTTAGGATATCAAGATCAAGCTCTTTCCGAAATTTCTCTGCATGCCAAACTTCGCTAATCGGACCACTTGGTATCACCGGATATAGATGCATATGCTTCCGAACGGCAAGCGTTGACCAGTCCTGTGGGAGCGGGACGTCAGATTGGTCCTTCTACAAGAGAGAAGAAATTTTACCTTTGCGATCAAGGTACGGACATCATTGTAATAGAATATGTTTCCTCTTGATGTCCGATGCTGATGCGTAGGGACGCCACAGCGCTCACGCATCCCCTCCTGCATTTTGCGCAGAGCATCGAACGATGGCACATCCCTTGCACCCGTCTCCTTGAGAACCCAAATGATGACTCGCATTAAGGTATCCGAGACGCGCATACGGGGTAGGTTTTCCAACATGTCCAAGAGGAACATCTCATTGGTAATAATATCAATTAGCTATTCAAGTTTGATATCTTCACAAGGTCTTCCTCACCGTTTTAGAGCCATACGGAAACCATTCTGACTCAGGTGAGCTACCAGTGAAGTCACTGAATTGCCGTTCACGTATGTCATCGACGCTGAGCTCTTCGACCTCGCCCACTATAGCAACTGTAAGTCACAATCATATTGATGAGATGTGGTCCTTACTTATGTTCTGCAATATGTCTGTTAGTATATCTTCTTGTGCATCAAACTCTTCCCATTGCCGAGCTGCGCTGTCCACCTCGACCGAATCCGTAAGGCTGAAATCATTTGTCGCGGTCCATAGGGATGCGATGGCGCGGTCTAACCGCTCTCTCTCCGACACCTTGGGATCATCACCACAGTCAAAGTCCACTGCACCCATCTCGACATCATCCCACATCTGTGCCTCGGACGCAGTAATATTGCTCATCTCAGGTCCCACCGGCTTCTCGCGAGAACTGATGTGTGCTGACCCCAGTGCCCGGGCCGAAGGGTGCTTCCCCGCTTCAAGAGCTTGTAATTCAGCCTCGTAGCGCGCATTCCGCTGCTGGATCTTGTCTCGCTGAGCCTCAAGCTGATCATACTTCTTTGCGTTCTTAATGTGAGTCGGGGTGGTGATATGGCCGGGCCAATTTTTGCGTTCCATCCACTGACGATTCTGTGAAACCCAAAGGGCACATTTTTTACAGCGGACTTTCTTTGTCTCAAGACACTCTTCAAAATCTGGAAGGAGTAAGTTATTGTTCACTGCCAAGTAGGTGTCCCAATTACTTACATGAAGGTACAGGTCCTGCCTGAGTGGGCATTTTGATATCTGAGTTGAGGCAAGCCTGACTCAGAGAGAGAATACTTCGACACCTTGTGGCAGAGCCCGTCCTGTTATGCACGAAGTCAATACGACAGTGGCGTGTGACAATAGCTCCAAGCCACAATCGTGTGCAGTTGTAAAGCCGCGCGGCGCGCTCTTGCATGTGGCAACATCTCTTTCCTCCGCCTCTCAACAGTCACGAAATTTCAACTTCAGTTTTACTTCGACATGCCCTCGGCTTCTGAAGCCCACATTGGACGGCTCCGATTCGTGATGTCAGGTGGCGATTCTCCTGAAAGCAGCCCCGTCTCATCTCCGTTGCGGCGAAAGCGGGCACGCACGGACAATGCCAGTGATCGTGCTGCCGATGATGAGTCGGACTTCGCAGAGGGTAACGAGGAGGGCTCAATAACAGGGAACAACGAGAACATTGACCCAAGCATTGTCAATGACCCGGCCGGCACCATCTCTTTCAGTCCGGGCATCCTTCAACCCCGTGCCACAGGTGGCACGACTGACACCGGTCGCCTCCAACAGTTCGCGCACCGGTATTCTAAGAAGCTCAAGCTCACGAAAGAGCAACAAGACCGAGGTGACGACTTCAATGCGGTGGGTGTGATATATTCTGTCAGAATCTAGTGTCGATAAGTGTGGCCAATACATCATTACCATCAGCGCAGTCTTTCTGAACGACTTTACATCCTGTGGGCCGGCCAACAGGCCCTTCGCAACCAAGTCGACAAGATTGTGACCGCACAGCCGCTGTACGCTGTATCGAACAGCCTTAAGGTTTGCGTTAGGTCTGGTTTGCATCTGCGCGACACTGAAAGGTACTTCATAACAGAAATCGATTGACAAGTACGCGCTTGCGGCGCTACTGTCCGCTAAGATATCCCACTACAAAGGGGACATTCCACGGATCCATGTAGAGGTAAGTTTACTGAAGATCTTCAGGGCTGTACTGAAGTCCGATAAAAGGGTCTCTTGAAGAAATATCAAGAACATGAACTCCCGCGCGATCTCGAGCGGAACCCGGCCGACTGGAGCAAAGTCCAGAGTCAGATCCAGTACTCTTTGACCCAGCTCCGGTCGAAGTGGAAGAAAGCGGTAAGCCTCTCACCTTGGGATACGAACAGATGTCATGTTGCTCACTTCATGTGTGTTTTGTTCAGATCGCAGCCAGTATCAAAAACAAAGACAAGACCAAATGCACAAATATCTACAAGCTTGCTCAGAATCTAGCGACTTCGAAGAATACTGTAACTGCCGCGCTGTGCACCCGTGTTGCTGTGATGGTGAGTACCCGATTTCCTCTTAAACATGGTTCTAACTCTTTCTTCGTGCACTTAGAGAGAGGTATACATCGAGAAGTATGGGCACGAAGCTGCGCCTGGTCATGAGAGCCCACAAGCAGGTGAAGATGATGATGAGCCTGGGGGGAATGCAGACTACTGGTTTGCTATGGACGGTCGACTCGAGCTCATACGGGAGCTGGCTGGAGGGGATAAGAAGAAAATAAGCCGGTATGTCTTCCTGTTTCTTTAGCCGCCCGGACAGTTGATCTTAGCAATGTTGTAGAGCATTGAAGTCGATCCTGAAGGATGACCGGAAGACATATGGTATCTTCGCTGAGTCGGAGGGGGCTGAAGGGGACCAGGAAGAGAATGACTTCCAGCAAGAGGTCGACGAGGTTGTCGGCAATGAGGTGTAGCGATATGCGGGCTATTTGTGTCTTCTCCATTGTCCTTTGTATCCCACCTGAGTGTACAGTAACGATCTGATATTACCGCGGAATGAACGTGCATTTGTTTAATGGGACGAGACTGAAATCTGGTCTATTATTCTGCTGCCACAGTGGTAACTACAATATGCTATCCAGGTTACCGCCGCATGTCTGAGGTGGCAGATTACGAGGTGACCTGCATGTTTCAGCGAGCTCGACACCCACATGTCTGGTTTGTGGTATTCACATTAGTACACCTAATTTACAGCTTCCTGAGAGATTTCGATGCCACATGGAGTACACGTAGAACTGGCGACAAGGTGGAACGAGAGGCTGGTTGCCGTGGCTTCCAGTTTCTCTGAATCTCTGCCACATGTGGAATTGGGGGCTGTGGCCGATGACGCCTCCACGTGAAATGACAGTGGGTCTGCTTTGGCGGTGTATGCTGGAAGGAGCTGGAAAGAAGGGCACATCCAGAGTCCCGCCGGAAGTGCAGCCAGAGGTGGAGTCGATGCAACACACCACCGGCATGCGAGATTCAGGGTATTCAAAAGTGCAGAAGGATTCCACGTCATCTAGCAACGTCCGCACGGTTGGCGTATGATGCATGTCGAACACATCCAGATTTCCTGGACTGCTTGGTATGGAGAGCAAGATGAACCTTTCGTTGAGAAAGACGAACCCGTCTATATGGAAACTCGATGACCACACCCACTGTCATGGTATGATGTTAGAACTACATCAACTAGGCCAAAGAGGAAATACAAATACCATCACAATCCGGTCGCTCTTCCAATCGTATACGATAAACTCCGGTTTGTCTGCATTGACCAAAATACCAATCAGGTGTCCTAGAACTCGGATGGTCCACACGGACCCATCCGCAACTTCAGGCCCTGCCGGAGCGGCGAATTTCCACATATCAGCACAGGCGGACGGGTGGACACATCCGTTCGTTAACCCTCGCATATATAAGAAGCTCTGCTGCGCTGCCTGTGGATTTCTGGGCGGGCAGCGTGAATTACCATTTGATCGTTGAGATACAATTAAGACACCTACCCGGCGGGAATCACCTCCGCAACAACAAGAAGATCCTGCGACGGATCCAGGCAGAAGGCTGTCGCATTATGGCCGATGTTTCCGATCTGCCACCCCTTCTGAATGATATTCCTAGAACGCGCAGGTAGACGAGAAAAGTGCATCCCGTAAACACCGTTGCCAGCGTCGTAAAAGCGACCTATTACGCCAGAGTCGATTACCCAATGAAGAATAGGGCCTGGTAGAGGAGGAAGCAACGTCCCCTGTTGCCACACAAAGCCTTGCCACCGTGATACATAGCTCTGCAGGCGGTCCTTGCGCTCCTTGATATCCATCCAACTTGGAGGGCCATTTTCCATGCCAGCTGCGTCGAGCGCAATATGGTACTGAAGTCGCAAATCTGCATCAATTAGATCTTTGAAGCCCCTGCAGACCTACGCAATGCGCCTTTATCAGACGGGAATGAGGCACGGGATGATCAAGGCGGTCACTCACTTCTCTGCAGATAATCAGAGATTTGAGATTCATAAACATGAATACTGACAAAATGACGTCGTACGGGAAGAGGTCGATGAGGGAGGCCATCGTAGTGATGTCAAAACTTGAAGGGACGATGGACATTGCGCAGGCTCAATTTATATTTCCAAGGTGTGCCACAGAGCGGTCAATCCAATTTGCACTTGAGGCTGCTGGTCAAAGCCACGCACCATCCGCCAAAACGGTGGCGTTCCTGATCCAGATCCTTGCTTGGCATCTCCGTCGGGTTGACACGTCCCCATGATAGTCGAAACGCGAGCGAGCACGTACAGAATCTGTGCGGAAGTAGGAAGAGACAAATTCGGCCCCGAATCCCGTCGCCCGCGAAGGGTGAACCGGGTGGCCGAATACAAGGTAGAGCCACACACTCACCAGTAAGCGCGCGAATCATATTGATTGTGGCCCTCCATTATGAGAAAGGCGACATTCTTGTACCTGAGGCCTGACTCACTCGCCCTTGGCCAGACGACCCATCGTGAACTTGCACCGGCGAAACCCGAAGAAGCCCATTGTGGCCATAGGGGCTTGATCTTGCGTAGATCCCTCTCTGTTCCCGAGATCCACGAAATGCGGCGGAGCACAAGACATCATGCTTCGTGGCAGGTCTCTGTATGTACCACAGGAGCTTCACGATTTGAAATTTGAGCACCTAGGCTGATTTGCCGCTTCTTCATATGTAGGAAGGCCTGGAAGCGGAAATACCGTCGCAGTCGCTTCACTGCAGCTCGTCGCGCAAGCTTCAAGCGCGACATGCTTCGTGATCTGGAGCCTGTCTCAGGTCGATCATATTCTATAACGCCCACAAAGCGAGCCTACAGTACATCATCATACAGAAACAAAGTATACGAACTATACACGTCACCAGAATCAAGCGTCTGGAATTGGTTGCCTCACTGCTGCCGCCAAGAAATTGTACGCATCTTCCGAGTATGGCGGGTATCGGAACGCCAGATGAGGATCGGCGCTGTCAAGAAACACGTCAGCATCCTCTAATGTGGCAGTGGAAGTTTAACTCACGCGATGGGCACATTGATAGACCCGCGCTTATGCACCCATGTGTCGAAGCTAAATTTACCGTTCCAAGAGCCATCTAAATACCAATCGTGAGTGCCTTGATCGTCTAGTGCAATATTGCACTTACAGCCAGATTCGCCATGGCCTCCGAACGGTATTTCGTGTACTGGAAACAGTTTTATTGGTATTCAGGCAAATTCAGTGGACCGGATCACGCACCAGCGAGCTGCATGAACGTGTCGTTGAATACCATAGTGCCACTGTTGGTCCTTGAGAGGACTGTGTAATATAACGTCACCACTCGCCGCAACATAATAACGCGATACTCGGCGTTTCACTTACATTTTTGCTTTGTCTCTTCGCTCTCAGTGAAGCAATAGGAAACTAAGGGGTATGGTCTTCGTACCATAGAACGATCTTAGCTCTCTGATGCACGTAGCTGCATATATGCTCACCGTCCCCTGATGATGCGCAAGGCATGCTCGACATCATCCACAGCAATCACGGGCACAATTGCTCCGAAAATCTCACTGGAAGACCATCAGCTGGTATGCGGGCACTCCGATGCACGCAATGAACCGCTCACTCTTCCATCAGGACGTCGTCTTCCTTGACATCGTCTACGACCGTCGGCGCGAGCCTCTTGTCACCTTCAGTCTGCCCACCAAGGACAATCTTGCCTTTCGTGCGCTCCAAGAGCGAGACCAGGCGAGCGTGGTGAGCTGGGTTGACGATTTTGCCTATGTGCGATGATGGCGCGAGGGGACCATCGGGATAGAAAGCCTTGTACGCCTTCTCGAACCCAGCGATGAGGGCAGCCTTCTTATGACGGGGAACGAGGACGTAGTCGGGCGAGACGCAGAGCTGAGCAAACCATGATGTCAATCTCGTCTCTCTGAATCAAGTAGAAAGTCTGCGGAAGCAAACGAACCTGGCCTGAATTTTGTTGCCTCCCATAAAGTATCCGCTTTGCGGCGATATCTATGTCCGTGTTATCGCCATCAACGAACACCGGAGATTTACCGCCCAGCTCCAGAGTCAATGAGGTTACGTTCTTTGCAGCTGCAGCCGCCACGATCCGTCCCACGCGGATCCCTCCGGTGTACATGATATGGTCCCATTTGAAATTGAGAAGAGTAGAAGTCTCGGGGACAGCCCCGAGAACCACTGCATAGGCATTCGGGTCCAGATATTTCGGGATGAGATGAGCAAGGATTTGAGATGTGGCCGGCGCAAGTTCTGATGGCTTGATAATAGCTGAGCATCCCGCAGCTATGGCACCCACTAATGGGCATAAGCAGATGATGTACGGGTAGTTCCAAGGACTATATCATCTGAGGATCAGCGAACAAAAGCAGACGCGCAAAGCTCTCACGAGATAATGAGGCCAACTCCCTTGGGCACCGTGTAAATCGTGGTATCCCAAGTATTCCGCCATTCTTCTACTTCTGGCTTCTGCGGCCTAGTCCATTCTTCGAGCTTATCCGCCGCCTGCCGAGCGGCGGATGCCACGGGGCCTAGCTCAGACAGCATGGCCTCAAACTTGGGCTTCCCCAGGTCAGCGTAGATCGCGCCCTCGAGGGCCTTTTCGTTTTCCTGAATCATCCTGGCTACTTGAAGAAGCTGCCTTCGCCGGTAGGCCAGAGGAAGGGTGACTCCGGAATTAAACGTGTCCGATACACGTCTGTATATCTGAGCAAAAGAACGTCGGTGAAACTGCAATGACGGGTTCAAAGGGTCTTACGAGTTCAATCTCACTGATAGGCGTATAGCTCATGATGCCCGAGTAGACTGGTTCTGCAAGAGGGAGATGAGGGTCAGGTGCTTCTCTATAGAGTAGACAGATCTCTCACCTTTTATTCGTCCGAGGCGTTAGATTCATTACCCGCAGTCTCCCCATTAGTACGTACACCTGCTCTCCTTCTCTCGTAAGATGTCTCGGCCCATCCGGTTAGAAGGCGGTCTTCTTAGGTCCTGATGGTAGTCGGTTGACCGAACTGAGCGTGTAAGCAGCCCGCAAAGCTTCACGTGCGGCCCGTCAACCAAAGTTGACGGAGCAACCGACCATCGGATGCAAGTGACTAGCCCTGCAACATTCTACATACGGGTGATAGATGATAGACTGCCAGTGGCTATGATAGAATTCGTAGATATACACATACAAGGGAGGGGCCCCGTACGGCAGTGCAGAGATGGAAGGATGGTGCCTTGCCAACTTAGCCGATACGGGGACCCTTTGACGATGTCGAGCAACGAACAATTGCAACTTCTGAGGTTAGGGTCGCTGGCGCCGCCGGGTTGAGTCGGCTAATCGACAGACGATGTCAAATTTACTTGGATCAGGCAGGAACTCTGGCCTGGACACTATCATGTCTGCGCTACTATGTAACACGAGATGAAGCAGTACGCACAGCATCTTCCACATATATAACGAAGAGGTATGCAGGCGACACGGCGGACGACAAGAGAAAAGCCGGGGCGATACCAGGGCCGCCGCAAGACATCCGCTTGCGAAGATTAGTACCACACGGCGCCTGGAGCTGTGTGCATCAAAACCGCCTGCCCCATGCGAGATCTTGCGACGAGACGGCCTCGGATAGCGCGACCCTGCATCACCGTTGCAAGCCATTAAGCAGCAGCGGCAAATAGTAGTCGGAGGCCAGCGGGACCGGACGATGATCTGAGAAAGACATCACAGTGCACAAGTTGAACTCGCATACCGTCCGAGCGGCTACTGAGAAACGATAACGCCTCCGCTACCCCAAAACTGAGTCGTCCCTATAGACGAAGGGCACGTTCGGTCGATCAGGAGCATCATCGCATTTGAGGGCATGTTTACAACGGTTGCTCGGCTTCCTCAATAGTAGGTGGGAACGTCTGTCCCGCTGCGAGCAGCGAGCGTAAAGCCAGTGGGAAGCAATCAAATAAGACGCGGTTTCGTAGCTGTTGCTGTATGTCTCTCAAGAGTATGGACAATACTCCGGGTAACCGTCGGCGTCATCGGTAGCGCCAGCCGTCCAAACGTCTACGCCAGAGACCTTGATGCAAGATCTTATGCCAGAAAAGCCAGTTTACAAGACGCGCTCCAGAGACAGAGATATACAACGACGGATGGCAAGAGGAAACCGTGGTCGGTGGCTGAGAACAGGAGGCGCATGGGCGTTCCGCGTTCTTGACCTCGGACTTCACCCTGGCGTCCTCGCCGCCCCTCTAGAACTCTACGAGACCCTTTGCTCTAGCCCGTTTCACTTGTATTCAGTACCACTACTTTATAGGCTTATATGCCTGCGCCTTTCGTTTATCTGTATATGCCAACATGTCTACGCACGGCCACAAACACTCCGTCTCGGTCTCCCAGAACCAGAAAGCTCAACTTGCGTCGGCGTACAACGAATTAGGGAAGGAGTTATCGTCGACTAAGATCAGGGTCGTCGGGAACTATACATTGGGCAAGGTGATCGGGGAAGGTGAGCGTTGACGCGTCGGCTGCTGTGGTATTGGGTAGAACTCACGGTTCCGAGCGAGCAGGGGCGTACGGGAAGGTACGACTGGGGACGCACCGTTTGACGTCTACGAAAGTGGCGATAAAGCAAATTCCGAAAGCTATGTCGGCCTCCCTGACCCGCGAAATACACCATCACCGCCGTCTGCACCATCCTCATGTAACCCAACTCTACGAAGTAATCGCGACCGAGTCGTCGATCTGGCTAGTCACGGAGCTCTGTTCTGGTGGCGAACTGTTTGACTATCTGGCGGAGAAAGGCCGGCTAAACGAAGAGGAGACTAGGATCATATTCGGTCAACTCTGCCTAGCGGTTGCCTACGTCCACGAGAAGGGGATAGTGCATCGCGACCTCAAGCTGGAGAACGTTCTTCTAGATGAGAGGTGCCGTGTGAAGCTGGGAGACTTTGGGTTCACTCGGGAGTTTGAGCGGGGAGGCCTGCTGGAAACATTTTGCGGCACAACTGGATATGCTTCGCCAGAGATGCTCCAAGGTCGAAAGTATCTTGGGCCAGGTGAGTGTCACATTTAGTGCACGAGGAACCGTCATATAAGCTTGCCGCAGAGGTCGACATATGGTCTCTCGGAGTCATCCTATATACCCTCTTGACCGGTACCTTGCCCTTTGATGACGATGACGAGAACGTAATGCGTGAGATGATTATCAAGGGGGAGTTCGAAGATCCAGAGTGGCTGTCAGACGGTACGGGTTTGCGTATGCCCTCCGAGCTGTTCTGACCGAGCTTGCTATAGACGCGAGGGATCTAATAAAGAAAATCCTCGTCAAAGACCCATCCCAGAGATCGTCCATCTCGCAGATCTTATCCCATCCCTGGTTTAAAGTATCTTCATCTGAGACAAGCGATACATCTGTCCCCGCTAAATCTACAACCAAGACGGACACACTTCAAATATCTTCTCCCCCTACACAACCATCCCCTGAAAACTCCGTATCCTCAGCCACCTCTGAAGCAACTTTCATGTCTGCATCGTCTGAGCTCCCGACAGGCCCTACCACTCCTGACGATACCTTTGGCGATCGTTCGGTCGCCCAAGGAACCGATGAGTTCCTCATCCGTCGCAATCCCAGCGAAAATACTATTACAGACATCACTGCTATCCATGCGGCGCTGGAGGCTGCTGAGGGCGGGAAGAAGCCGGATACGGTTCACGAGGAGGAGGAGGGCGACGACGACCTCTCTCGACCCTCTTTGCCGCGGACGGGCTCCAGCGCGTCCAAATCGCCGCCTACTCATCCACCGAAGACTCCTGCTAGGACCAAGCGGCGCTCTGTTTCGTCGGCGTTGTCTGACCATGAGGAGGAGGATTCCGATCGCACCCGTATGGAGCGGCCACTGGCCTCAGCGGCACCTCAGGACTTCGCTTCCTTGTTGAATACCCCAGCTCCCATCATCTTTACCACGCCACTTGAGCGCGAGCTACTGAACGGACTCAGCGTCCTGGGCTTCGACACCGGGCAGATCGTGCACTCAGTCCTTTCGGACGCGTGCGACTCTACTGGAGCCCTTTGGTGGATGCTGCGGAGGAAAGCAGAGAAGAAGGCAATTGAGCAGGGACACGCCGACAAAGTCTTGTTGACCCATGTTGACACATCTGCGTCGGATCTGGTAGAACAAGCGAAAGCGAAGAGACACGAGAAGAAGCCGGAAGGCCCTTCTCGGCGCGGATCTCCCATGCAAGAGGCAAGCCCTGCTGATCCTCCCCTTCACTCGGTGCATTCTGCCCCGGAACTCGCTTTTGTTCCCCCGACGCCAACCGTTGCAACAACTGCTCGACCTCAGACGCCGCCGCGGACCACATCTCCGATGCGCTCACTCCTATCTCCAAGTCCGTCTGTGAACGAGGCGGGGGTCAAGTCTCAGCCTTCCACGCCCGGGAGTTCCAGCTCCAGAGGTAGGAAGGGGCGATCAGGTAGTGTGAGCATCATGCAGCGCGCTACCACTGCTCTCGAGGCGGCTGGACTTGTAAGGAAAAAATCCAGTGAGGCGGTCCGCGAGGAGAAGGAGAGGGAGAAAGCTGCTCGAGAGCTTGAGAAGAAAGTCACCAGTACCGAGGAATCCAGGAGTTCACATGGTAGCTCTTCTAGCAGGCTTATGACCAAGTCACCCCCTCTGAAAGGTGTCAAGGACAAGGATGCGCCGCTCCCTGCGACGCCTTCCGCAGATCCTGAGCCGAAGGCGTCTCGGTCTCAAGTGGGCTCTCCCTGGGTAGTGACTGAAAGTCCAGCGCATTCACCTACGCCGACCGCATCTCCCGGGGACACCCTCACCTCTTTACCGGACTTGGGGAGTCACGGGGGGAAGATGGGCCATCGAAATCGAGCCAGTCTGCTCAGTGCATTCAGAATGTGGTTCCAGGAAGATCGTAAAGGCAAGCGGAAATCAGGCACTACCGGCTCAGGTACTGCCCGCGGTATGGCGTATGCTCATAATGTCCCAAGCTCCAATTCGACTTCCGGTGCTAGCCCGACCGCTGGTAGAGCCGTCAAGCGGAGAACCAGCGGTGGAGGAGCTCGTACCTCCCGGAAGACAGGGTATCATTCTAAACGACATTCAGCATCTTCCCGGCGATCAAGCAGCGTCAACTCACGAAGGTCGTCCACGACGTCGATGCAAATGGTCGTAGAGTCGTCCCGAGATTTGTTTGATCATACCACAGCCATCTCGCGTCAGAGAAGTGATGCAAGTCGTCGATCCTTCGGGAGCCATACTCCCAATTCAGAGCGCGGAGAATACCCTTCTAGACCATCTTCGGTGCAAAGCATCACTATGCGTCGACACCGAAAGTCGCCCTCCGCCAGCTCTGGCGGTTCGCTGCACAATGTCAGTCGAACGGCGTCACCTCTCCCGAAGTACCATAGAAGAGGCGGCTCAGGTTCTTCCACTCGAGTTGTTCGGCACTCACACTCCGGTCAAGGTACCTCCGGCAGACCAACCCATGGCCGGTCGAACTCGAATGCATCCTCAGTACATTCCCGGAACTCATCCCGTCGAAATTCGTTTTACGAGCAGTCCGAAGGCGAAAGGACCGCTTCGCCATTTAAAGGCAGACGTTCCCTCGATGATACACCGCGCAAAGGCTACGGAAACTCCACTTTCATTGCGCAGAAACGACAAAGTGCCTTCGGGAACCCAGGCAACTCCGTGGGGAGGTCAAGCTGGAAGAAGTCATGGGGCCTCGAACCGCCGGGTTGGCAGACTCGATCGGCGCATCTGCCAATCGAGGTCTTGGCTATATCTCCCGCCGGGGACGGCCCAATGAGTATACGAGATGTGTTCTCCGGTCGTCAGAGCCTAAACATGGGAGACGAGGATGACTGGGTGGACGAGGACGATGATACGTCGCCTTTTATGGGCGGACTGGGACAAATGCCTACCTCCACGTCTGGACCCTTGCAGAGCCAAGCGGCTGAGACATTCACACTCTCAGCCCCGCCTCGGTTCACGAACGCGAGCCATGGGACCGCCAAACGCAGCGCAAGATCCGCTGCCAGCACAGGTCGGAGGAGCAAGTCTAGTCATTCCCCAGTTGGAAGGTCATCCCCATTACCGACTGAAACTACCTTCGAAGAACCTAGAGCAACTTCCCGCAGGCAGTTGCCCACCGGTAGATCGGTGAGTGCCGGGTATCGTGCGCCCGCCATTCAAGAAGAAGATGAGGATGAGGGGGAGCAAGATTAGGGGCGTACGAGACGCCACTCGAACGCTTCAATCGGCTTTCCATTGTACGCTTTCCTCTGAACACTGGTTTGATTTCTTGCTAGAAAAGACGTCCTTCGCCCTCGGATTCATTGTATGATGGTTTCCAGGTTGCCTCATGGTTTATACTCAGAGACCAGTTGCTTTGGTCCTGTATCTCGATTCATTCCCGTCTCCTTGTCTTCATGCTCTCTTCTCGCACGCTATGCAATCATATACCCACCCCTTATTCTCTTCATACCTGTCTCCTCGTAATTGGAGGACTGGACTTGTCTCGCTAGGTCAGAGAAACCGCATATCTACGTCTTGGTGCATATGCTCAATGCAGCTCACTTCATCGCTCGCTGTCTGACCTTGCTTCACGATGTCATATCTAAAGATTATTTGTGTCGAAGAGATCGGCACCGACAGTCAGGAACGGCTATAGGTGTAGGGGATTGGGCCGGAAATGGGACTTGTCACCGGTCTCGTTGGCAAAAGCGTCTCCCGACAAGAATATCCATTCTACCCTCTTCAATGCCGGCAGGTGTATGGCAGGCGTTTTCTTCTTGGCAACCCAGTCCTCTCGGAAGGAATCGTCTGGGTACAATCTCTGCATGCAATCACGGCATTCACCGCTCCACATGGTTTTGTTCTCCTCACCTATCTCGAGAAGCGGATTTGCTTCCTCGTCTGAAAGTAAGTCATACTTGGCCGTTATGTAGAGCGTCTCAAGATCCTCCAGCGGCTGCAGGAATTGCGCGAAATGCGCCTGAATAAGATCGATACATTGGGGGGAGTACAAGATGTATGTAAGTGCCATGCACTCACCGGTAAGCCGACTCCACCCTCATAAGTGAGGGAGGACGGCACAGGGCAGGAAAAGCTCGAGGACGTGAACGTGTTGCAGAGCCCGCACCAAGTGCTGTAGGGCTGCAGTCGTAGGACGCGGAGGTTAGGGAACGGCTTGACGATAGCCTCCAGGTCTGTCGGTCCGATTTCGCCCATGCCCGTCATGTCAAGCTTGGTCACGGATGGCGGCACGTTGGCCAAACACGGGAAGGGTATAACGTCCCAGAACGGGAGCATCTGCACGACGACTTCCCGAAGGTTTACGAACCGCGCGAGGTCCCATTCGTCGTCGTAGTCCACCAGCAGATTGTGTAGGCAGACGAATACTCTGACGCACAGTCGAGTTTACAACGTGCAATATTATTGTTAGATAAGGTGCTGCAGCTCACCTCACCCACTGGGGAAGCTCGGGCCAGTATTGCGAGACAATCGACAAGTCTTGTCTCCTGCATATGCAGAGAGTGTGGAACCACGCCTCGAGTACCATGCGCCGGAATGCACGACACACTAGGGATAGGGGCTCGATGTCGCGCCACCTTGGCTTCGGCCGTGGGCGTCGGATTGGACGGTCCCAGACGAAGTGGAAGACTATCTCGTTGTGTATTTCTATGGGGAGTTGGAGCATTGCTATGATATGCGGCCGGTAGTAGTGTACTAGACAGGAAAAGATCAAGTATGAGGCATTAGGGGAAGTCACGATGGGCGGTTTGAGGGCGGTTTTAATTTAGCGTCGGTTTAGATTTCGGTTTACTCACAGTTTAAGGTCAGTTTACGGCCTTGGTTTACACATGTACATGTCTTATCAAGTGGAGCTTCAATTACATAACAGAGACTGTTCATGTGTAGTCCTTGGTACAGCTCATTTAAATATTCTATATTATATAGATGAGGATGCTGAGAGGGTTGGCAGCGTCGAAGTCATAGGGGGTGGTGGAGTCGAGAGTGGCGACGTGCTTGTTGGTGGGGGCGGGGGTCCTGTCGCTGGGCTTGTCGTTCTTGGTCTTGACCTCGCGGAACAGAAGAGCGACGGTGCCCTGCGCATCGTCGGACGCTCTGGGGATCCCGAGGCCAGCGTTGAACGGATGGCTGAGGCCGAAGGTGGGGTCGGAATTATCCGCAACGGCCGTCAGAGGGGGGGGGGGGCAGCCAGCCTCTAGACAGTCCCCTCGTACCACTCCACGACAGCACCGTAGACCTGGGCATCGTTGAGGACCTGGAGTATATCGGGAGTGATGTCGCGAACAGCTGCAGCCTTGGTGGTGTTGGGATGGACGGCTATCCAAACGGTGAAGGGACCCCACGTCTCTGTCCCATCGTCCTCGTTGACGGTCAAGAAGCGGGCAGCCTTCAGTGCCGAGTACTTGATACCATGAGTCTTGAGCTATGCACGGATCCTAGGAGCGAGACGGTAGTCCCAGACGTCGTTGAGACGCGTGTTGAATATACCGAAGGCAGGCTTGGGGTAGGGCTTGAAGAAGCGTTCTCCGACTTTGGGCATGCGGAAGGGGGTTATGTCGAAGTCAGAGCGCCACATAAGCTTCGGAGGGTCCTCCGAGAGGCCGTGGTAATAAAAGTTGATCTCGTACTGAGACATCAGGTCGGGAGCGACGACCGTCGTGGCAGACGAGCTGGTACTGAGCCGAGTGAAGTGGGTATCGGAGTCGCTCAGGACGGGGAACCTGGAAAGGTCGGAGACCTAGGAGACCTAGGAGAGGCCTGGGGAGCTCCTTGAGCGGAAGTTTGGGGGGCGTACTTGCGCCTCAACAGCTCGACCTGGAAGTGAGAATGCAAAACGGAAATGTGAGCACGCGGGAACTGACAACCGCACACCAAGAAATAACAGTAGACGAAGAGGGAAGGGAGGCGGATGAAGGGGGAGAAGGACTTACTGCCAAGATTCTCCGGGTCTGCCCTGACTTGCTCGACCAGATTCTTGACTCCTTGGACGGCATCTACGAAGCGGACGGACAATCATGAGTGAGCGAGATGAACGTGTGCGTGTAACAACGAGAGAAACTCACTGAGGCCCAAGAAACCGAGGGTGGTCAGCTTTTGCTCGGTGAGATCGACAATTTCTAGAGGAAGAAACGATTCAGCAACGCATAACGAAGAGGCATACGACGGGGGGATAAGCAACTGACTTTTGTTGCGAGTCTGAGGATCCATTGCGATAGAGGCAGAGTGTTTCACGAGAAGTCGATTGGTAGTTAAACAAGCGCAGGCAAATAACTCGTCCCTGGGGATGAGTGACGCTGGGGGTCTTTACACAGGCTCCTATAACCATCTGTCTCCTCATTACTCGGCGGCTGTTATATTGATTTTCTAATCAAGAGTGACTAGTGAGGAGGAGAACGCCGACAAGGAGGGAGAGGTGAGTGAAACGTTCGAAGGACTCACTGTAGTTTCAAGTCGTTCAGACCTCTCGAAGTACAAGGAGATAAAAAAGGATATGAGATATATATTAGTATGCCATAGTATTGGGGGACCCAATACAACTAGTATACACATTATAAGAGGAACATCAGGCTCAGTCTACGAAGAGCATGCAAAGACTTCGACGATATCCGGCGGCCACGATCACTCGAATGGGTTGCGCCCTTCAGCTTTGGCATTCCGTATGTCCTCCGCCGTCCAGAAGAGTTTCTTCTTCTTCTCCGGCAGTGGGGCCTTACCCATCCTCTCACAAAGGCTCTCGAGAGCCTTCCTCTCCTCCTCCAAGGCGTTCGCCCACTTCTCGGGCTTCAAGTCATGCTTGAGCAGTGCATCTTCGAAGTCGCACAGCCGGACATTGTTCACCTCCACGTCCTCATCGCTTCCGACGTTGTCCTTGAACAAGATATTGCGGTCCGCGACGGCCTTGTGCAGGACCCCCGCCGCCCAGAGCTTCTCGTAAGCAGCCTTGACGGCCGCCTGCGCTTCTTCGGACCAGCGAGTCATCCGCGGACGCCCATGGCAGGTTGTCACCAGCATCCGGCACACGACCTGCTTCTTGCTCCTGACCGACGAGGGAGGATCGGCGCTGGAAAACCCAGAGAACAGCAGTTTCGGCACGACGTCCTTCAGCTCCTCCTTGGTATTCATATACTTGTAGACCTTCGTCTCCTGCTCGATCTTGTTGTCGTTCAGCGGCGAGGGCTTGAAAGCCGCGCGCTCGCCCCAGGTGAGCATCGGGTGCGGCGGGTAGTTGCCAAAGCGGACAGAAAAGCCTGTACGCGTGATACCCAGCACCGACCCAGGGTTGGGCTGCATCGTGTTAGCCTCGGCGCATATGGCCGCGTCCATAGGGAAAGAGGGCGCCAGGCGGTGTTCTTCCCGGTACCCACTGACAGTGGACGCTCCCCAAGCGGTCAGAAGGAAAGGGTAGACATGCGAAAGATCTCCAACAGCAGAGGGGTACAGAATAGAGGACGGCAGGGGCATCCGGCGGGCAAAGCCTGCAAGATATGCGCGGATGGGTATGAGGTGAAGACGGATACTCTGGCATGCTTACCTGCATCACAAAGAGCGTCGGAAAGAGGGCTGACCCACGCTATAGTTTTATCTGTTTCCGGTACCTCTGTGCTGCCCCTCAGAGGCCCGTCATCTGCCTGAGGCTGAACGTGTATCAGGCTGCTGCGTCATTGGCGAATGATACTCGGACGTAAGTGACTCACATTCACCAGCGGAACCGGAGCTTTGGCCTTCGAGCTGGCAGCTTGGACTTTCGATTTCGCTTTCTGAGCTTGCTGCGCATTCACCTGCGCGCTGTCCTTCAAAGCCGCTTTCTCGCGGAGACGCGTCGAAGATCGGACGGGTTTCTTTTCGGTGTTTTCTGTGTTTTTGCGCGGAGCCATAATAAACGTAGGGTAGGAAATAGGTTGGGCAGATGTCTGTAGTCCGCAAGATTGTGAGGGAGAAAGGCTGAGAAAGGTAGCTGGTCAACAAGTGGCGCAGCTCGGCTAATCATTGCCGTGACGCGTCCGCGTTCTAGTCACGTGGACTCTGCTAACCAGTGGGTCACAGTCACAGACCGTGTTCCAACTCTGGAGTCTGCAGCCGTGAGGATGAAGGCTTTTGGAAGGCTTTAAGAAGCGGCTTTCCAGTCTAAAACCGCTGTACATGGGGACTTATCTCAAGGGTGCCTCTGAGACGACGCCAGCTACTTGGATAATCGGGAGACCGTGGACTGAATAGCAGCGCTGGTGGCGTCTCGCTGATTTCGAAGAAGAAAACGCTGAGTAGTAAGCAACTGCACCCAGTCTCTTCTACAGACGTCAATCTTGCGGACGTCCTTCGTTCAAATGGGGACTTTTCCGGGTCGTGACTGCACCCGGCGCGGATGAATTCCAGCTGGACACAAGGAAGCTGGCGCGGGTGATTACTCCTGGTCTTTGGCTCAGAATAAAGCCACGAACACCTATGAATCAAGGTCGACAACTTGAGCGGACATGCGTAGGCAGGACATCAGTGTTCTCGTGTTCTCATCGCGCAGCTCGTCTTTCTATTTCATGTCTCCGGGTCTTGTGCATGGTCCCTCGCGCACGGTATGCGTATGTGATGCCTACGCCGTGATCTCGGATCGGTGTCGTATGCTCCTAGAGAGCCGCCTGATATACCGATACGTTGTTCCCATGCACTGCGACGCTTGCTCGCCCCCGATGCCCTTAGTAATAACACGCTCGACGCTGCTGCACATACCCTGGGTGGAGCCGAGTGTGACCACTTCCTGCTGTCTCTGCGCTAGTACAGCTCATCTATCTGATTTCGCTACCTTGCGCGCGGCATGTTATGGCTCACGTATTCATTGTGAGGGGGCCGCCCTGATGCGGAACTGTAAGTACGGATCAGGTCCCCAAGATGTTCTCACTATTGTTTTCGTATATCACTGCGGCGAGCACCCGCCCCGACCTCCCGCCTTCACGTCGTGCGGCTCGCCAACTCCGCTAACTCAGGACCTGTCACAACATCAGCTCGGTGTCTTTGTTGTTCTTGACATGCGAAGCCATTAGGGTATGTTTGCCATGTACATCCTCCGAAGACGTTTAAATACAGCTTATTCTGACCT